ATTCGAAAGTTTGTGGAACTAATGGAAAATGTCTGACAATTGACAAGTGTGTTTGTAAAGATGGATTTTATGGTCTTGATTGTTCACTTCCTATTTGTTTGAAAGCAGAAAATGGAAAGTGTGCTAATGATACAACAGGTGTAACTGTAGAAAATATTGAAACAAGTCAATTGTCAAACAAATCAATTTCTCTTAGTTCAGGAAATTTGACAGAAAGTTCAGTAGTTTCAGTTTCCTTTCCTTCTGATTTTTCTCATTATATTTCCAATCAAACAACCTTCTCATCAGTTTCTCTACTCACAGCGGTTTCTACAAGCGGAAACAATTTGACAAACTCAAATTCTGCTTTCTCCATAGTTTCGAATATAATCACAATTTCACTTGCCTTAACAAATGGAAAAAAGATTCCAGTTTCTAATTTGGAAAATCCTATACAAATCTCATTCCAAAAACCAACAAGTTATTCTGGAAATTTGACATGCATGTACTTGGACGAATTGACCAATGAATGGAAATCAGATGGTGTGAAAACTGTTATTGAACCATTAACAGTCAATTGTCTGACTTCTCATTTAACTTCCTTCTCGGTAATTGATATTAATCTCAGGAAGGAAATTGGAAAACCAAAAGAATCACCGAGTGTCAGTAATCAAACAATTTCACAAAGTCAACTCTCTCAAGAAGCTATCATTGCAATCTCAGTATCAATTGCTGGAAGCTTCATTGTTTGTTGTGTTGTTGCAATAATCCTGTCAGCTGTTATCTGCTTAATAAGAAGAAAATCGAAGAAGTAAAATAAACAATGATAAAGACCTTAACTTTCTAATTAAACTTATTGAATTTAATTTAAAAGTATAAATTCAATAAGGAATATTCTGAAGAAACTCCAATACGTAATGGGAAACCATAATGACCTGTTCCTCTGTGAGCATACAATCTCAGTGATCCTCTTCCATAGAGACCTTGATCTGGTGGATGGACTTTGAAAATCTTCTTACTTCCAAATAATCTCAATGCCTTGAAGAGTACCTTTACAAATGTTAAACGGCGGAATCTAGTTCCAATATGCCCACCATGTAAATGGCCTGCAAAAACAATGTCAGTATCATCCTTCATGCTCATAGAGGAGAGAATAGATGGATTGTGAATGAGGAAGAGCTTTGGAATATCTTGAGAAAGCTTTGGGAATTTTTTAGAGAGCTCTTGAATGTGTCTGGTTGATGAATCATGTCCAGCGAATGAGAATTGAGATCCCACAACTTGAACAAGTGATTTTTCTCCTTTAATTTTTGAAAGTCTTTCCACTTCCACAATAGCTTGGTCATCTTCCAATAAAATAATATCATTTTGTCGGTAAGCTTCTCTTACCCTTTCCAAAACTTCATAATCGTGACTATTTAAAAAGAATGATATTATAATTATAAATAGTTCATAAACCTACTTTCCTAGACAAGCAATTGTTCTACCTTTCAATTGTTTGAGAGGTGATAATGCTTCACTGAGTGAATGATCATCGTCGTGTGTATCCATTGTTTCCATATCACCAGTAATCAAAACTAAATCAATATTATCTCTATTGTCGACAATATTTTGACAGAGAGACTTGAGTTTTTCCTTACTCATACAAGTTCCCAAGTGTGGATCAGTAATTTGGAAAATTCTCAAAACTCTGGATTCATCTGTGTGAAGAGGTTTATCATGATGGTCAATTTCAATAACTGTATCTTCTTGGGAAGATTTATCAATAGTTTCCTTTCTCAAATCAATATGAACGAGTTCCTTTCCAAACTTTGGTCCCACCACTGAAATGTACAATGCATGAAGTGAAATAGCTAGTACGAGTCCATTAAATCCAGCATCTAACAATGGCAAATTTACATTATTTACAAAGAGTGGCAATACCCATCTCGTTGCAATCGAGTACGGTATTACTGACATACTACCAATGAAAGCAAGAGCCAAATACCAATAACCAGGGAATGCAACACTTGCCAAATACCACCAAGGTTTCAATTTCTTCCAATGAGTCAACACAAACAAGTGCAAAAACAAGGCAGAATTGAAATACATGTGAATTGGCACTGAAAAGAATGGAAAATCTCCAAACAAATTGTAATATCCATTTGCCATCAGTGAATGTATTCCTCCAAATATCAAATAAAAGAATGAAAATCTCTTTTGTTTCATCAAGTATCTGGAATACAAAAACAAGGCTGCTGTTCCCAAAACTGATTGAATACCAAACACCCAAGAACCATGCTCAGCAATCCATCCCAAAATTGATGAGGATGAAGAAGTAGAAAGAAGGTTTGTTTCATCCATTTTATTGTCCAGTTTCCGAATCAATTATTTTAATTATTATAAAATTAATGATCCTCTCGAGATAGGGAATAGATGATAAATAACAATAAGATGTTGTTGTAGATGTATTTTTTTGATTGTTTTTAAAAATTGATTCTTTCAATGATAATGAATTAATTGAAAGCTAAAAGGACAAATTGAAATGTACGCGTATAATTAATTGGCGCACCCATTCCAACATCATTTAGAATCTCATGCATTCAATTTAAATTGAAATTGTGCACTCAATCTATTTGAAATCATGAACAAGATTGAAGGAGTATTCTCCTCTCATAGACCCACATTCTATCATCACTCACATTGAATTATTATTTGGATCGTTCTCAACAATAAAAGATTCTGATGATCGGAATGAAAGAATAAAAGGTTGTTTTCTGAGGCGGGAGCATGTGACATCATTCTTACTGATGCACCTGCGAGAAGCCAAGTAAATTCCTATATTGTATTTCCTAAGCCAATCCTCTCTTCCGAGACGAGAAAACTGGTGGTTTTGGGAGAAATCAAATTTCAAACACTAGCAAATAGCAGTAAACTTATCACATCTCGTGGTTTTATTTTTTTTTAATTTGCAAAAATTGTGGTAATTCAATTTTTATTATTTTAGACAGGTCCAACAAGAAGTGGACTTGGGAATAATTTAACAGAGTATTCTTAATGGCGTGAGGTTGGTTTTTGGATGGTGGAAAGGATTGGCTTGAGGGAGGGATCAATTTTGAGCATGGTGTTGAGGAGGTGTTTGGAGTGTTTGTTGGTGTTCATGGAACGAATGGAATCAGTATTAAGCTCCTCAATATTTTGAACATTTCCCAATAATTCATGATTCATAATGTCTCTAATGACTTGTGGACTCACTTGGTAGAGTTCTTGAAGTATTATAGAGCTATTTCTCTCAGTGCTCATCTTGGCAAGCTTTCCTTCAAAAGATTTCACAAGAGCTGTATGATCGTTGAGAGAACCCTTCTTAATAAATAGGAGAGTAAGCTTGAATAAAGGTTCTGCAATGTCACCATTCAGTTCGCTGAATTTTGGTAATATACAATACTTTAAAACCTCATTTCTCTCAAAAGGATTACATTCATTAATGAGATGGAAAATCACTTGCTGACAAGTGGTATAATGTCCTACAATGTCATACTTGAATGATTTGAGGATGGCCTTTCTACCTTCTGGATATTTGGCCATTTTAATGGAAAGGAATTGTGAATTTTTGTTGGAGGAAATACTCAAAAGGTTTGGCTTGACCATCTCAATAATAGTAAGGGCACATTCTCTATCATCTGCCACCAATGAGGAGAAGAAGAAGGAGCTAGTAAAACCTTTTGCCAAGTCTACAATCTTTTCACTCAATTTGTTCAATACATTAGTTTTACAAGTTGTTCTAGAGAAGAGGTAAGAGAAGGCAACAATTCCATTCTTATCTTTGAGCAATTCTTCGATTTGATCTGTGCTGAGAGAATCTATCAGTGAATCGAGAGTATTCTTTTCGGAAAATCCAATAAATGCATTAATTACATCTTTGTGATCTCTCTTCATGGATAAATTGTAAAAATTCTTCATAATGAGAGTAGAGGTCTCCCCAAATTCCTTGCTATTGGTAGGTAATCTAGTATAAACTCGTGACAAGGCAAAAGCATGCCTTTCATCTAATTGGGTAATATTGTCCTCGGATAGAGATTTGATCAATTCCAATTTGATATCTACAGAAGATTTCTCTATAGATTTAGACAATGGTTGTCTCAATCTTTGCTCACTAATTTGTTCGTCATCCAAATTGAGTAAAAATTGAACCATCGGTTGTTTTACAAAGCTCTCTAAAGTATTCAAATGTATTTCAATCATTTGAGTGAGTGAATTGGTTGAATTTTCATTTTCTAACATGATAAGCACTAGCTCAGAGTTGAAATTCATCAATCCAAGTAATTTTTCAATGTGGCTAGAATTCAATTTGGGTAACAATTTAGAAATGACTCTCGATGAATTTTCCTGTGTGAATAAGTTAATTATATCCTCTCTCGATTTCTTATCAGAAAATAAACTATTAAATATAATATCCAATTGATGAGGAAGAGCTCTCAATATCACTCTCTCCATAACAATTGATCCATTACTATCTATACACAACTCATAAATATTTGGTTGAATTTCATTAAATACTTTTTCCAATTCATCAATTGTAGCATGTCGTAACAACTTGTTAAATGATGTACAATATTCACTCGATTTGGCAAATTCAATAACATTTCCCGAGAGGTGTTTCAAGAGTTGTGAAATTGTAATTTCCTCCTCTTCATTAATTTTAATTGTTTTTACTCTTGTAGAATAAAACCTTCTTTGCATTGATGCAATCAAACTCGAACTATTTGTATTATTATTTACATAATTATTATTATTAATATGTAATGATGATGATGTAATATTCCTCTTCAAAATTCTTCCTCCAAAATTCAAAGCTAGATTTGATGCAAGAAGAACATGTTCTTTTCCGTGCAAATTCGCAAGATGTAAAAGCTTCTTACCACCACAAGCAGAAGCACGTAAGCCAATCAACATGTTTTTTTGAAAAAATAAAAATTTTAAAAATCATATTAAAAAAATTCAAAACAACAAAAAGCGTTTTATTTTCTCTCACTTTAAATTCGGAGTTTTTGTATTTTAAATATCTAAGAAGAAGAAATAACATCATCATCATCGACAATTAAGAGTAAATATTATTGTGATGGAGAGTAGTGGAGAAAACGGATCATCAAAAACAAAACAAACAATAACTAGAAATGACGATCATCAACATCAATATTTGGTGGACATTGAATCGAAAATTAAAAATCATATTAAAACGTTGAAAACACTTCGAGATGAGACACCACAACAGACAACATCAAAGACTTGTTCGATAACACCTATGGATATTTTCTTCTTTAATCAGAGAGTCAAATCATTCCAAATAACAACATGGTTTAATAAGCCATTCATTGTGAATCCTTTACAATGTGCTAGGTATGGATTTATAAATATTGACAATGATAAGATTGAATGTTGTCAATGTAAGACTAAAAAGTTGCTAAAATCATCCTTTGATAATATCAAAATATCGAGTGATGTGTTGGAAAAGAGAGCTTTGGAATTTTGTGAGGAACTTAAAACCAGTCACACACCACAATGTGTCTTTTATAATCAACCCTCACCTCTTCGATTTACGCTCTTCTCTCATCAGGATACATCATCGGGAAAGAATTCCAACATTACCAAAATTCACTGCTTTGAATTCCACGACTTGATGAAGAAGTTTAGAAAAATCAATAAGAGCTTGCACATCAATTTACCTATGGATCCAACATTTGTAAATGAATATTTTACAAAACACTCTCTCCTTATTAATAGAATTTTGGATCAGATGCATGTTGAGGATGCAGAAGAGAGAGAATTGTACACTACCTTTTGTTGGTTGAGTATTTTTAATTGGCAAATTTTGAATAATGCTGACCTTCCAACACTCTCCTGTAGACATTGCCAAATGACTCACTATTTGAAAGTTAAGAATAATTGCCTGACGAGTACAGAAAGTCTTCATCCACACTCAATGCACAGATGGTGGTGCCCATGTGTTCATATAAATAAGCTCGTAGTCGATTATGAACAAATTGTAGAAAAGGAAGACCAAAGTTACATCAAATCACTAACCAAACGTCAATTGAATGAAGAAGCAGGATGGAAACAAATGCTCGATTCGATTTCTACAGGTCTGTCATCAGAGAGTGAACTGACTCATATTCATAAGGACTCTCTTGAAAATGAATTCAACGCTGCAACACTTGTGAAAAATATTCTTGCCAATTCAATCTCATCAGTTTTTGAAACTGAAAAGAAAAGAAAGGATCATTTGAAAAGTGTATACGATAAGGTTTATTACAAAAACGAACAAGTTACCAATGAATCATCCACAGTGGAAAATATCATACTTATTGAAAATAATCAAATTGTTAGTGAAAAGCCAGCTAGTGAAATTACAATTATTCATGATTTGCCACTCTTATCAAATAGCAATGGTGTTAGTATTACCCCTAAAGAAACCAATCAAACACTACTAATGGATACTTCTGATGATGACATTGAAATTGACAATTCTGAAATAATTATTGAAACTAGTGAGAAAATTCAACCAGCCCACTCGCCACCTAAACATATTCTTCATCAGACAACTTTGGATAATTATTTTCATCCAAGTGAAACTTTACAACCCAATGATAATAATCAACCAACAGAGGAGGAGCTAGTCACAGAGGCAGAGCAACCAATTAACGTGCCTTCCACTGATGCTGCAGAGAAACCTATTACTACAGAAATGGGAGATGATAACTTGATGATAGATACAGAAATTATTCCAAATATTGACACTACTACTATCACAAGAAATGATTCACCTCCTGAGGAGAAGGTACTCTCTAACATTACACCTCCAACACCAGAAGTGGAATCAACAACAGCAGATTTGAGTACACCACTATCAGCATCAGGTCTTTCAGAGTTTGAAGAAAAAACACCAAAAAAGATGGATTCAACCAATATTCATACATCTTCAAAGACTCCATTCGAATCGAGTATTACATCACCATTGTCTAGTACGAGTGATATTGTTTCTCCCTCTGTTTTTAAGGGTACAACACCTAGCTCAGAGTCCAAACAAGAGGCCAAATCTGAAACCAAGCCAAAACCACAACAACCAAAACCTCAAACACCTTCCAAATCCAATTCAGATGAAAAGCCTAAATCCAAGAATGTGGCACCTTCTCCATCAACAAACAAATCATCCTCCAAAGAAGAAACACAATCTACTCACAAACCATACAAATCCAGAGAGTCATCTTCAACACAAAACAGAAAGCCCTCTCAACCAAGAAAACCAAGAGAAGCTAGTAGCAGTAACAGTAACAGTACTGAGTCATCATCTTCCAAAAAACCTGCACAAACTAATGATAGAAGTACTCGTTCAAGCGAACAAAACAAGAGAAAGAAACCAAGTGGATATCAAACCTCAAATCCCAAGACAAAGAACAACAAACGTTGAATGTCTTGAACAAAGTATTCCACTAATTCATTGTTATCATTTGTAATTGGGAACAAAAAAGTATTAGCGGAAGCATGGATTTTGATACAAAAGGCGCATTAATGAAAAGAATCGAGTTTTAATACAAAAAACGACAATATTATTTAACGCAAACATTAATAAATTTGCCTTTTATGAAGAAATGGTGAAGCGGAGTTGACAGATTCTTCAGTGCAATGTCCATATTTTCAATCTATTTGTCCAGATGATATTTTTGAAATATTTTCCCTCGCAACACGATCTATTATCCGAAATTCGAAAACAAACAGAAAAAATTATCATCAAGCGCCATTTGATATTCAAACAACCAATTTTACAATAGTATTGGTAGTATTGGAAATTCTTCATTACCGTTCGCTACACTTTTTAAACTGCCTTTCTTTATTACTGTACAAAACATTCATATTAGAAAGAATTAAAAAAAACGTCGTTATTTGTTAAATCGCCCGCAGCGAGTTCTTCCGAAAACCAAATTTACGTTTTTATTATCTTCATCATTGTACGCCGCTGTTGTGCATAAGAATATTATTCTCATCAAACTATTATTGAAAAACAACAGCAACTTTGAAACGCTCTCTAATATTACACCAACATCATCATTACACTATCATTTATTAATATTTATTGTGAAATTATTGAAATACTATAACTACTACACCTTCAACAATTACAGAATGAATCTACCAACAAATACTGCTTCTCCTATGGAAGTTAGTAACGGAAAGGCCCTCGATCTTTTATTTGGTCCTAATACCAATCATTATCAAAAGCAAAATGTCTTACCATCAGTTCATCAATTTGAAAACTTTAGAAGTCCACCTCCACCACCTTATCACTTTCATACTCATGCTTCTTCATCATCTCAACAAGGAACTCATCAATTGGGTTGGAAAGGTGGAAGTGGCCAAGCATGTGGTCATATGATGAAAGCTCCGAAGAGTAATAATGGGGAGAGTGCGACCACAACAGATGTCTTGACTGGATTGTACAAGACTTCTGATGCTATCTTGTACAACCATCAATACCATGACAATAATCAATACGTTGCTACTAATTACACTTCCATGGTTATGGGTACATCAAACACTACTTTTGATCAAAAACCAAATTGTACCACTACATCTCCATTTATCAATTATTCTGGTGCTGCAACTTGTGCTTCCTCATGGAATGTATACCATTCAGCAAATAATGCGGAACAACACACTTTGCCTCCTTCTACTATCATTAACAATCACTTTGCTCATTCCTCCGTTTTCAAACAAGATCATTATCAAGAGCAATATAATACCAATAAGCAACCAGTTATTGATAGAGTAGTAGCAGCGCCAATGTATTGTCATGACTCTGTTGTGGTCGCACGCCCTCAAAACGTTAGCGTCTCCAATGCTTTTGCATTGCCACAAACCAACAATAATATCCATATGAATCAATACCATTATCAGCTTACTAATTTTGCTGATGCTGCCCAACAACAACAACCAACCCTTGATGTTTGTTATCATGATGAGAGTACCAACCTTGATAATTGCAAATGCCATTTGCGTATTATTCGTCCAACTCACATGCTTGCAAATATTGATGATCAACAACACAGCTATCCACTTGAACCTCACTCTAAAAAGATGAAACTTGCTGATTCTGTTGTTGAAACTCACTCATCCTCTTCAAGCAATGCTAGTAACAGCGTTAGTGAAAGCACTGCTTCTAGAAAGAATTCCTTAGATGGTGTTAAACAAAATATTACTTCTAGTGAAACCACCAGCCCAGTAGCAGCTATTGCTCGTAAACCTATTGTTTCCAAGAAGAGTAATACTAAGAAACCAAAATCTGATGATAACTCTCAAACCAAGAAGAAGGTCACAACCACCAAGAAGACCTCTCCATCTCCAAAAGCTCCTGTAAAGTTCAATGTTGATTTGTCCAAGGAAAATTTGCAAGATACCGCTACTATTCCAATTCGTATCTTGGCCTACAATCTTGGACTCACTAAGGATATTCAAAAGTCCTGGAGATATAGAGATATCAGAAGAGCTCTCTTTGAAAGAATGATTGATGAACATATCGAATTTGTTGATAATCAATTAGAACATTCTTTATTGAGAGAGAGACTTCCACACAAGTTGACTTATAGCAACTTTTGTAAGAGAGTAATGCTCCTTGTATTCCACTTTGTGGTCAGAGATGGTAAGGAACCAAAGTTCTTCAGAAGACCACTCGTTCAAAGAGATTACATTGAAAAGTTACTCAAGGATAATGATCCACACTTTTATTCACTTGTTGAAACTTGTCATGCTCATCAACTCCACAATCTCATGAATAGAGATGGCAAGACTTTCCAAGAAGCCATTACAATTGTCTTTAAGGATTTGATCGATCCTACCAGTTTGCAAAGTTTGCATGGATCTTCCAATGCTGAAGCTTGTAGAAAGATTAGAAAGCCAAGATCTCAAAAGAAGTCATGCAGTGATGATGAAGATGACGATGAAGTCAGTGAAGATGAAGACTTGGAAGATAAGCCATCTGCCAGATCAAGACGTAGAGCTAGTACTGACTTGAAACGTAAACTCAAACCTGTCAGTGAAGATTCTGATGATGACGATGACTACTAAGATTACAACAACTATTGTATACTTGAATAGTACTATTATATATTGATAAATATTAAACTGATATTTTATTTATTATTTATTACCATTAAACCTCTTTTGTAAAGACGACTCGTCAGTGAACCGTTTAGAATAGAAACTAGTTGAGGAAATAAACTGTCACCCATCACAATCCAGATCAAACATAAAAAAAATGCAATCACAACGTAGTCTATCAACATCCAGTGCCGACCTTGTCACTGAAACATTCTTTGGCCAATTATCAGAGGAAAAACAACAAGTTATCAAGGAATTATTCGAAAGAATTGACAAGAACCACAACGGAGTTTTAGAAAAGGAAGAACTCAGAGGAATTCTCGAAGTTATGATAAAACAAGATCCAAATTTAATTGAAAATTTGGGACTAAAGAATAACACACAATGTAATACAGATGAAGATATTTTGAATGCAATCTTTGATCAATTAGATTTGAACGGAGATGAAGTTTTGAGTTTTAGAGAATTTGCTGAACCATTTGCAAGAATGTTGACCAATCAAATGTAAATAAATTAATTGAATATTTTTTTAAAAAAACAGTAAATATTTACAAGAAGCCTTATCTATTGTGAAAAATCTTTTCATCTCCATTTAGTAGTCCAAACGCACAATTGAGATTCCAATGTCAAACCTTAAACAACCCAAATTCATACTTTCATTGCAAAGATTAGAAAAATTTGTGCGACGTAGAAAGTTTCGATTTTCACAAATTAATGACGTGATGGTTATGATTGTTTGCTAAGAGAGCAGACTCGCTCAGTCCATCCACTCATAAAAAAATAGATGAACAACAAGATAGTTTCGGTTACTTTATTGTTCTTTCTAATAATTGCATGTACTATAGAGTTGTCAAGCTCAGAACCAGCCCAATACACAATCAACAAATTGATTGGTCCCATTGCGGGGGATGGTAAGCCAAAAGAACAAGTTGGTTTCTACACCATTTACACCTTTACAATTGCACCTTTAAATGGTCAAATGATTGTAAACGAAAATGGAGCTGTAAAACAATTTTCACTTGATTCTGGCGCGCAAGGTTTAGTTTCTGTTATTCCTGGACTCAAAATATATTCTTCTTCTTCTTCAGTTAATGGTCAATCAACAGTGGTTTCGAATAGTGATGGAAGTGAATTGTATTACCTTGAAGAAAATTTGATAAAGAGATGGAAAAGCGGTGTGGTCAGTGTTATTGCTGGAAATGGTGTTATAGAAAATATTTACTATTTGAACGAAACAGTTGCCACTCAAACTTTCTTAAATTCTCCAACGAGTTTAGTTTATCAAGACGATTGTTTATACATTGCTGGATATGGTATTGCCAAGTTGAATTTAACCACTGGAATGATCAGTACTACATTTAGAATTGGTTTTATTACAGACATGTCCATTTCCACATTTGATGGATACATGTACTATTTACAAAATGATCAATTGAAGAGATGTTCATTTTCTTCTGGTTGTTTAAATCAAGAGAATGTAATATCCAATTTGTTTATGAACACTTTTACTCTATCTTCAAATAGAAATGAATTATTCTATTTCTTTGGTAATCAAATTTACAGATTTAACATTACAACCAGAATTTCCACATCCATTTATCAAATTTCCTCATCAAATACTTATAAATTGGCTTACAGAAATGATATGATCTACTTTGCAGAAGGTTTTAAAATCAAGAAGAAATCAGTGGTGGATGGTTCACTTAGTGTTGAAGCTGGAAATGGATATTATGGATATGTGGCTGAGAATGTGCCATCTCTACAAGCTGGTACTGCTGGTTATACTGTTTCAAGTATTGCATTGAGAAATGGAGAATTGTATTATGCTGATATGAATATCATAAAAAGATGAA